AGTCATCTTACACTCAAAGTCCCATTTCTCAGTAGCATGAAGAAGTAAGGGAATTTAGAGTCAATCGCATAATTTTTGCCATTTCTTGGACATTTAGTACATTTAAAGATGTATGCCCTTCCCTGACAGAGCCTTATGTCATGTGGGTTGTTTTTGCTTTATAGGGAACTATGTGCTCAACTACCTTGCCACTCGGCCAAAGTTGGCTACTTTCGTGACACAAGCACTTATTCAGTTGTATGCCAGAATCACAAAGCTGGGCTGGTTTGACTGTCAGAAGGATGACTATGTCTTCAGAAATGCAATCACAGACGTCACAAGGTTTTTACAGGTATGATGTATATATTTAATGTAATAAGAATGGGAGAAGCAACATGCATATACTTACTTATATACAGTTCTACTGTCTAGAAAGTACACAAAATAGAATTATTTGATATGCTCTTGTCTGTGTCTTTTTTACCCTTAATGTGTCTTGGCTTTGTATGTTTACATCAGCACAAACAAACCCTCCTTCATTCTTTCTAAGGCCTACATACTATTCTGATCTAAAATACCATACTTTAATTAACTGATCTCTTAGGGGTAGGCATTAAGTTTGCTTCTATATTTGACTGTTAAATAAACACTTCAATGACTATCCAAATAGGTAGGTAGGTAGATCAATTTACATATATATCTTGTCATACTTTGAATAAGTGTACTGGGATTATTGGAATTATTCAAGCAAAAGGATATGTGTATTTTGGCTTTTAAAGATATTTCCAAATCGCCCCCCAAAATAGTTTCTTCCTCCAACAATTAGAAGGTGCCTATTTCCCTGTGCCTTCACCCTGAGAGCTCAGCTATTGTATTTTTCTAACCTAATAGGTAAAAAGAATTGGTATTCATAACTCAGCATTTGAGTTATGAATGGGACAGAACAGTTTCTCATAGGTTAATTTACTCCTTAATTTTTGTTTTTCTATGAACTTCCTGCTTATATCTTATGTACATTTTTAAGTCGGCTACTTTGCCTTTTTCTTGTTGTATACAGTTTCTTTGAAAATTGTTACACATTCATTTGTAATTTATCTTAAGTGTGTTTTGCCACTTTCTCTTTTTATAATGAGCATGGTATAATGCTTACGGTTATTTTTAAATTATGGAAGATTTCAATTTTGATGAAGTCAGATTCAGCAGTCTTTCTGATGGCAGTTGGGTTTTATGTCCTGCAAAGCAGCAGTTTTGAACTACAGTTCCTTACTACCTTGTCTAGGCAGTGTTAATAGCATCCCATGATTCTGTCATTTTCAAAGTGTGACTGCATTTCCAGTGCTGAAATCAAGCTGCACACACCAACTCTTCCTTTTTTTTTTTAAACCAGGATAGTGTTGAATACTGCATTATTGGCGTCACAATTTTATCTCAGCTAACCAATGAAATTAATCAAGTAAGTGCTACAGCCTTCCTCATTGAAGTAAGTGCCATATTTTTCTTAGTATTGGTGTTTTCTGCTCTGTGTGGGATGATCGTTTTGGCAGTTGTGTGCTTTCGCGGTAAGTGATTAATGCCCTTTTGAAACAAAATAATTGCATTGGGTTTTCCTCTGTAAGTACAACCTACCTCACTCTTTTTGTCGTGGTCCCCTTCTGTCTCCAGAATATTTTACCCTCATCTCAGCTTTCCTCACTGGTATTAATGTTCACTATTAAAGATACGAGCAATGGTCCTAAGTCAAAAGCTTAATGAAGTAGTTTATTTGTTTGTTTGTTTGTTTGTTTATTTT